CCCCCGGGCCTCCTCCTGTTCCTCCCTAGCATTTAATACTCTTGCTCCAGTTGGTCATCTGTACGACAGGAAACATCCCATCAGGTTGCTGATGAGAGTTGTAAGGTAACTAGGGAAGTACTGTAGGGGCAACTTTTTCATTGTAGCTGCCACGTGGGTAGGAGCCTAAATTCCATAACGACTTCATACTATTGTTATGTCTAACATCTAGGCTCTCCTGGTAAAAATGTTAGTCCTTCCTGTTCCACTACAAATACAGGGTTAGCCACCTACCCTGTGACTTCCTCTGACGTTCTAACCTGTCCAGCCCTTTGTATCTGAAGTTGTTTCCACTACTGACATAGGTTGGCATTCTGCGTGTCTGCCAGGAGGATTTGTGCTTGACCTATTGAGACTGGCAAGGGCTCTTGGAGGATACACGCTCAATGCCAGGAAAAGGAAGGGATAAGCAGGCTATGCCCAATGGACTCAATGTCTCTTTTGGCCCAATGCACTGACAGGATTCCTTCTGAGCACTTCTGCAGCATCTGTGCAATCTTTATTCTCTCTGATTGTATGCCTTTGGATATGCTGGTCATTACTTAGAGTTGCCTTCTGTTCTACCAACTCAATTAGGCTCTGAGGTCCTTGAGGATGTGGTGTTTTAAGTGACTTAGCATCCCTCCTATCTAGTGAGAGGAAGGCAGCAAAGGAGAAAGGTCAGACAGGAAGGAAGAGAGGAAGGAAATGGATACAGGAAGGAATGAAGTAAGGAGGGATAATGGCAGAAATATTTATAGAATGACGATATGCCAGGTAGTGTGTGCTTTCTTATTTAATCCTTCCAACTACTCAGTGAGGTAGATACTATTATTAATTTTTTCCTAGCTTACAGAGAAAACATGCTTAGGAGGGTTAGGTAATATGACCAATGTAACAAGCCACAGTGAGCACCCTGGCAAGCCGGCATTGCACTGAGGTTTGTTGACCTCTAGGGACTACGCTCCTGATTTCTGGGTTTACACTGCCTGCTGCTTGGAGAGGACATTTTTCTTCAGAAGGTGCATCACAGCCTTCTTGCATGTGGACAGCACTGCAGCACTGTACTTGCTATTAACAGCGAACAACAGATAACACAGAACGGGGCTCTACCTAAACAGAACACAAAGCATTTGGTCATGAGCGCAGAAACAAAGCACCAGAAGCGTCATTTTGCTCCGCCGTATGAGCTGGGAATGTGTGTACTGAGTGACTCACATTATTGGCCACTCTGCAAATATTCACTAATGACCTGGACAGTGCTGCCCAGGGTCCTGAATTCCATTCCACTGGACTTTACAATACATACATGACTTGGATTTGATGAAATTATTCCTGCTGTAGAGGCCTTTTTAGTTTTGGAGTTACAAATACATTTTCACAAGTGATGAATTCACAGATGTGAAGTTTACGGTTCAGGAGCACTGAGTGGGTATGGAATGAAGTTCAGCCAAACCTTAGATTTGGGAATTTTGGAAGCTGTTTCAGGAAGGAACAGCAGGAGACCTGAAGTGCTACAGTGTCATAGCTGTACATGTTTCAATAGCACATACTGGTCCTGCACATAACCTTGAGAATAATCTGTCCTCCCAGTCCCCAGTTTTAGGTAGGTTCAATCTTTTCTAAAAAGTTTTTTTAAAAAATTTATTTATTTGGCACAGGGTCTTGCTGTGCAGCTTGGACTCCTAGTGATCCTCCTGTCTCAGCCTCACCGGTGCTGGGATTACAGGTGTGTGCTACCACGCCCAGTTTTGGTGGCCTGCACAGTATGGCTGGGCTCCAGGGCCCACATGGCATGTGGTACCAAGGATCAAGCTCAGGTCCTTGCACTTGTCAGGCAGGCACTTACACAGCTGAGTTATCTCCCTAGCCCAAGGTAGCATTCAGTCTTGATCATTAGAGATTATCAGCAGCGTAGATCACAGGACAGCGTGCTAATTATTTCACTTGACAAGTTTCATTCTCTTTGACTAACCTAGAGGCTGGGCCTTTGCCCTGTCCTTGTGCATGGAAGAAACCCAGCACACATTCGCAGTTTCTTGAACCGGATCACGAGGGCCAACGTCCCGCTTATGTTGTCTTCCTCTCTTCTCTTTGTGATATGCTGACAGGTAAACATTTCTTTAAAGGATTTAGTGATCTTTTGAGATGTCATTCAGCTAATTACATAATCTTTCCAAAATACATTTCACTTGGATGGTGCCCAGAGGTTAAATCAACTGCCAGGGTTTTGGTTCTGTCTTTTTAATTACACAACAATAACATTACACTCTTGCTAATTAGAAGCTTATCTGCACGAGTAAGTCTTTGATGAACACCAGAAGTCTTTGATGAACACCAGATTGCTCAACTAATTCCAATTGCTTGTTAAGTTTTCAGAACATTTCATACAAATATGGGGAAGCTGATGGAAATATTCTTGTTTAAAGGACAGAAAAAAATCACTAAGTGGTTCTAAAAATACGGTATTTTTGCGAACAGGTGTTGTAAAATATTAGTTTAATTATAATTTTTACAATGTTTTAGTCCTTTTGAGCAAAGCAGTCTAATTCCATCTAGACAGGCACAGTTACAGAAAAGAAACCATTCCCACCTAGACACGGAAGAACAGCCCTGAGGCTCCACCGCGTGTGCGCTGTCTGGTCCGCCTGCTCAGCTTGGTGGATCCTCCCTTGGCTCGCTGAACAGGAAGGCTTGGGGTGGGGGTGGGGTCCTTGTGAGCCTAGCCAGGCCCAGCTGACTGACACAAACACCGAGGCTGGCCAGCTCCGAGGTGAGCGAGTCTCCTCCCACTGAATCGTGTTCTCCTGCCCTTCTTCCACTTCAGCTGCGCTGGCCTGCTAAGCACAGCGGGCCCCACACTGCTAGCTCAGTGGCAAGGTGATGATGGCCTTGCTTGGCTTGGTGCTTTCCTGGAGAGAAAAAATGGGAAGGAAAGAGCGCTTCAGAACAGTGGCTTCAGCCTGATTCCCGAAGCATACTTCTTTTTAAAAAGTTTTAAGGACCTCATTATAGTGTTTTAGAACACTTAACTGTTTACATAAACAGAAAACTAGGCTGAAACACTCCTCAGTGCTGTACTAAGCAACTACCAACACCCAAGACTCCTAGGGGTCTGCTTCTCTCTACTTAGGAGCTATCTGTCACTGTCCGAGCGGTACCTTGTATCTCCAGTGCTTGAGTGCTCTTTCTGTTCTCATCCTTCATCAGACCTGGAATGGCCCCCAAAGGCCAATGGATTAAACGCTTAGCTGCCAAAAATATTAGGAGGTGGTGAGACCTTTAAGAGGTGGGCATGTGCTGGGGAGATAGCTCAGTAGAGTAAGTGCCTGCCTGGCAAATGCAAGGTCCTGAGTTCAATCCCTGGTACCACCAAAAAAAAAAAAAAAAAAAGTGGTCCTGGACCTGTTAAGAGGAAGTCAGATCACTGGGGACACCAGAACCCTGTCCCTTTTCTGTCGCTGTTTCCTGGGTGCCACGAGAGGAACAGCTTCCCCTGCCACACTCCCATCATACTGCAATTTGATGCCACAGGTCCAATGTAAGAGTCAGGTTACCATGGCCAGCAAACTGAAACTGTAAGCCAGACCTTCTCTATGGCTATCTTCAGTATTCTGTTCCAGCACCAGAAGGCTAACACTGCATCCTGCATTCCACTGTGAGAAGCCCTCAGGAACCCTCGGAAGATCAGTCATCCTTCCTGGCCTAAATTCAAAAGCTGATCCCCTTAATTACTGAACTGTCAAAATCCTCACCATTTAGGTGCACATAGTATGTTAAGTAGCAGCTTTGTTGATCAGCTTGGTATTGTTTTTCATCAGCATGCTTTTTCCAATCCTGCTGCTTCTGTGTATCTAATAATACAGTACTTTGTGAAAAATGCATACTCGATACATTTGTCTTGATTTTACAGGCCCATGGTAACTCCAATTGCCTGTAAAGTAAAGCCATCGATTTCTAAGTAACCTCCAAACTGCCTTATGGTGATAGGAGTCAGTCAGCGGCGGCAAACCTTTGCTCTATGTCCTGAAAACGGTGCACTCATCCAGTTCTCGACTGTACGTTCCTTAAGATGAGGTACCGAACTCTGCGGAATGACTTTCAAGGCTTCTCTAGTGCTTTTGATTGACCCCACTATACTCACTTCCACTCAACCCTACACTGACCTGTCAATTTAAGAACTAAGACTGTCTCTGACACTGATTTATTATTCCTTGTTTCTGATGGTTTACCCTACTTTGCATTAGAATTAATCTCACCGAAAACAATGGCACTTGGAAGAGCTTCACCAAAGTGTAGGCACTAAGTGGAACCACTACAGACTCCCTGACAAAGGACTGAGACATGCTGCTAGAACGGGGGTCTTGCTTAGGATTGTCCTTAGTGTTGGACGTACCTCTTATATTAACACTAGGAGTATATACTAGAAGTGCTATAGTTTCTTGTGATCAAGATATGCCACTTCATGATGACATAAAGGACCTTCTATTTCACTGTACTGGACAGTTGCAATATCCACACCACTTGCATTTGATGGAATGACAGCCGGTGTGAATGTGTGTGCTTTTGTTTAACAGTCAGTGCTCATGGCCAAGATGCTGTAGATGAAATAAATAAATGATATGCCACACTGGGGGAAGACTAAGGGAAGACAATGGAACGGGAAGGGAGATAACAGAGAGGGACGGGGACAGTTATCTGTTGAAAAATGCAAGGGGTAGAAGAACGCTTACCAAATCCGAGAATGGAGGAAAGAAGGCAGAGAAATGAAAATGATCCTAATTGTGGGATTGCCACAACACTGTCAGCTTTACATTGGGCTGACGAAAAAGCACACTATTTCCCAGTCCAGGGGGTGTTATTAATAGACCAGGGCAAGGCCACAGAGGGAAGATGAGACAGAGGAAAAGAATTCAAAGCCTTTCCTGACTTTAACGTAACAAGCTTAGAAAGTAGATGAAAAGCAAGGATTTGAGGCATGAGAATTTCAAATAACATTTATGTCATTTATTTATTTCTACAAAAAAAAAATTTTCCTAAGAAATCCACATTTGCAAAGACAGCGGAAGAGTTTATTATCTGTATGTTCATGAAAGGGCTGCACCTGATCTGTGACTCAAGCCTTTTGGACAGTTTGGTGGAAGGCAGTGAGCAGTGTCCTGCAGCAAGTGTCCATGAGGGCTCATGGCATGTTTTAGTTCACTAACTTTCATGGATAGGACACAGAGGAAAGGGAGACGCTCAGAAAGAGCAGCAGAGTAGGCGCCCCCCTGCGGCAGATCACTCCTCGTCTGCTCAGCGTACAAATTTCTGGGATGCTTAACAGGCACACAGCATGATTTGGTTTGTGGCTTAGGTTGCAGATTCTCTTTCTGGATATCTCCTGCTTGACAGCACCCAGCATAGCTCAGGTTCCCGGAGAGCTTCACGATCCTCAATGCTTGGATGTCAGAGTGAGTGTTGAAGACACACGGAAGATCTGGGGAAGCATGTTACTAAGTTGATAAAACATTTCTTCAGAAATACTCTGTAAGAGGTTAAAAAAAAAATTGTTAAATCATTCAACTTTCTAAATTTTACAATGATTTTAAAATATGGATCTCATTCTAGATATGGGCTACAATATGTGAAAATTCTTTCACAACTAATTTGGCTCTGCGGCTAATGGACTGGCTTATTTTCTGGCTCATTTTTTCTGACCATTTACACTGTTTCTGCCAATCAGTCTGACTGCTAGGAAACGCCCAGAGAGCATTAGTGTGCAATAAATACCACCAATTCTGACAAATTCTATACAGAATACAGAATCATTTTCTGTAAATGCCCTTCTTATGAACACCTCATTACCTCTATAACATAAATATAGAAACAACAGGAATATGAGTTATTTGTTTGGGGGTTAAATAAAAGATCCCTTGAGTGGAGGACACTGACATGTCTCACAATATAGTAAGCACTTTTACAGAATTTAAATACTTCTCCTTGTACAAAATAAGCCACTGATACTTTATATGACACTTAGATGTTTAGGGTTGCTGAGAGGAATATTCTAAGAGATTACACTGGGGCAACATCTATTCAGACAACACACCTGTGGTACCAGGAATTGCACTGTCCTAGAAATTCCTCCATCCCACGACGCCATTTCCATCATGAAACCTAAAACAGAACAACACTTTTGCTGCAGGATGAGTCTTGGACTTGGGTAGCCTAGCTGCTTCTGAGGGAAGCGGTATTTGTCGTGGGGCCTCATGTCTTGACTTTGAGGTAGCCACTTGCCTGTAGGAAAAAGCTAAGCCTAATGGACACATGAATGCTTACAAGTCCTAACTTTCCAGGCCAAAATTTTCACAGAGTTTTATTAATATTCTTATACTTATGATCTCTCAATTTCTAGTTGGTCTTCAGACAATGAAGTTAGAACAGGTCATTAAATGTTAGTTGAATATATGTCTCCATTTTCTATTTTCTAAGAAAATAAAAAACAACAGAAAGCAATTAGAATCACGGCCAAGTATAAGTAACATCCACACGCCCTGGCCTTTCAGGAGGCTGAAGGCTTATTTTATGACTGGGGATAAGAAGCTCAGTCTGTGATAAATATCCAATTAACTAGCTGAGGCACCAGATGGCAGATAACCTTTATATTCTTCCTTCTGGGTTATTCTGCTATTAATATTGAGGAAGAAATATGGTGGCAATTGTTAAATATAAGGCCATGCTTACCTTTGACACACTTGAACACAAGTTCTGCTCTTCTTAAGCACCAGGGTATTGTCATTTCCTAAAAACAGAAGCAAAACACATTGGAGTTTTAACAGAATTTGTGCAAATAAAAAATACAGGCAGATCTATGGTGCCGATAGTGCTGACCACCCATGTGGCAAAGAGTTTGAGGCAATTATATGCTAATTCCAACTGGACTACCTGTAGTTTTCAGATATATAACTTCTACCTGTTGAACTCAAGAAATGAGCCTATGAAACATAATATAGTGAACAAACATATCTTTACCACTTTTCAGATCATTACTTTTAAAGGCAATTGTAAATTGTATAATATTTGCATAAGCAATGAAATAAAATGTTTTTATTGTACGACATGTTATTATAAAATTAATGGGAATAAGTATCCCATCTCTACCACCTAAAACATCCAAATGCTTTCATTTTCCTATGTTCCTTTCTAATTTTCAGCCAAATGTGCGCATGGATGTCAGTCAAACTACAACAAATACTCTTTATAATTTTCCATGGTATGAGATTAGCAAGTGTGCTACTCTCCATTCTGTTTCTTTTTACTGTTACCAGAATTACCATTCCAAGTAGAAATGCCCCATAATTACACCTATAAAATATGTTTATTATTTCATTATGATGACTGCCAAGCTTTTAAGGGCTCAGGATTTCTTTTTTTTT